CCGTGGAAATCCATTGCCCGGGGCTGGTGGGGGGAATAAAACCCGTGGAAATCCATTGCCCGGGGCTGGTGGGGGGAATAAAACCTGTGGAAATCCATTGTCCCCGCAGGGTTCCCGGTTAGCAGGGGGAAGTTTGTCTCCCGCTCCATCTGATAATGGGAAACGAGCAGCAAATTGCCCCATTAAGAGCACGCCCAGCTGGGCACGTTCCCTCTTAACGCCTTGATAAGGAGCAGAGGGGCCTCTCCAGCACTTGGAATGACGTTCGGTCAAATAGCTGATTATGCTGGAAAATGGAGATTTGGCTCCAGTGACTCTCAGAGAAGCAGTTTTCCAGTCATTTGATCAAAAGCCACTTATAGGATTTTTTTTTTGGGGGAGGTGCTGGTTTTATAAATTATTCTGAAACAGTAGCAGCAGTTCAATCGGAATCGTTTCATCACACGGAATATTTTGATTTTTTCCTTTTTTTTCCAGCGCTGTTGCTTTTCAAATTTTAGCAAAATGCGGTGATTACGCCACAATTAAAACGAGGGGAGGGAAGCAACAAGCTGAAACCTTTCCTCTGAGAGAGGAAGAAAAACCAACCAACAATATCCCATCGCTGTGCGTCCGGAAATGATTTTTTTTTTTTTTTTTTTTTTTTTTGCGGATTTGAAGGGGCAACTCTGCATTTTTAATCTCTTTCTAGTCTTTGGGCTTTGCTCTGGGCGGGCCCAAAACGCATTTAAACCGGTTCTTTCTGCAAATTCTTCCCAATTAAAATGGAGCAGCTTATTTCCCACAGCAGAGAAAAAGGCTGCAAATAGAATCCCGAGGAATTAGGAGGAGCGGGAGGTTTCTCAGGAAAACGCAGAGGTTTCCAGCCTGGTTGTTGATTCACTTTGGGCGCGAGTTGGAGTCTGGATTTGTATCTCCCTGGGTTGTTTGATTGATGTGTTGAATCAACCACCTGCTGTGTGTGTGTGGAGGGGGAAGGGATGGGTTGAACCTCACGGGGGTGGGGTGGGGTCTTGTCCCCCTCATGGCAGCCTCTGGAATACACATGGAGAAGCCCTGGAGCAGCTGCCAGTCACATACAGTCTGGGAAAACTTCACCACCTCATAACTCCTGCAGCCTCTGACCCAGCAGGGAGAGTGAGGACACTGCCCTATAACACCCCCCAGCTCACAGGGACAGTGAGGACACTGCCCTATAACACCCACAGCTCATATGGGGA